CCTAGCCTAAGGATTTTTCATCGAGATTGACAACATTTCTTAGGGGATTCCTCAACAATACATGTCAAATAAGGCAACTATGGGGGGGGGGGTGGAGTACACCTGGCGAACACGTAGTTCAAATAAACACCTACAGGTTGTGAGCCTGCTAGCGTTCCACTGGACAACCTAGAATAGTCTGTGGTCGTCATCTATACTCTGCTAGATGACTGGATCATCGTAAACATCGAGGTCTCTCATCATTTTATTTCATCACACATCAACTATCTTATCTACCTATGTTTTACCCAACATATTTGTAGATAAAAATACATATACAGTTTAAATCATTAAAAACATGTATAAAATTATTCATCCAGCATAGATCTCATGTAAACAGATAATATGCACACATAGCACGTAATTTATATAAAATACTTCATATCTATGTGTAAGATGAAAGTGACTATGCACTCACCTGATAAAGTGGTGATTCCAACTTGGACAGGGCTTCGCTTCTTAACAATATGATTTCCTTTTACGAAACCGATAGGTTTGCTGGAAACCGGGCTCTTCGGGGCAGAACTTTCCGAGCCGAAAATCTCTTTTTTTCGGAACCTTTGGGCGCTCCGAGGCTTTCTTCTAGTGCTAGGTAAGTTTCCTAGGCTTGGGGGTGTTTGGGAGGTTTAGAGAGAGAGAGAGTAGAGAGATAGAGAGAGAAAGAAAGGGTTTAAGGTGTGAAGAATAAGGCAGCCTCGCACCACTATTTATAGGGTCGAAGCCTCGGTTACGCTGGGCGTACCCTCGCAGGTACGCTGCGCAGGGCGTACCTGCTTACGTGGTGCGTTCGTACAAGTGTGTGCCACTCATTGGATGGAGAGACGTGCCCGGAACGAGACCTAGTATGCGAGTATGCAGGGCGTTCCTGCTTCTACGCGGGGCGTTCTTGAGCAGCCTTGCAATTTCTTCCCCCGACTTCTAAAATCCATAACTTTCGCATACGAGCTCCGTTTCCGATGTTATTTATATCCACACGTAGGTAGAGACGTACTCTACAACTTTCGTTTAGACTCTGTCGGCTAATTTTAACTTTGTTTTTAAAGTTATATTTTTAACAGGCCGGGACAGGAAAAGTCCGTTAAAAATTCATAACTTTGTCATTCGACGTTCGTTTTCGTCTGTCTTTTATTGTTGAGCTCCTATTGACGAGATATTCGATTCTCGCTTAGGTTGTGTCGGCTAAAAATAGCTCGATCTATAATTCGAACTCCAGGCTGCACACTGCTATGCCAAATCTTAGAAAATTCATAACTTCCTCATACGAAGTCAGATTTGGACGTTCTTTTTATGCACGCTCTCGGTTTAACGTATACTACGACTTTAGTTTAGATTGCTAAGGCTAAAATGCACTTTATCATAAAATCACTTTTTACGTCACACAGCGTCGTGTCGGTTTTGTCGCGAAACTTCGACAGATAATAACTTATTCGTTATAACTCGGATTTCGGCGTTCTTTATATCTCCGGAATCCTTGTCACGACCACTAAAACATTATTCATAAATATAGGGTTTATCTATATTTTTATTTTCGGCTCTTATTTTCATTCTTAATTTATTATTTCTCATAAATAAGTGTAATGCACATAAAATCACATAATCCACATAATATTCAAGTAATTCCTCTTTATTACTTCAAAATTAGTTACATTTGTTGACCCTAAGTATTACATCATCATATCAATGCTTAGCCTCGAAACACGGACGTTACAATTCTCCCCCCTTAGGATGATTCCGTCCCGGAATCATCAACAAAATCGGGCTTGTAAAACGACTCCATACATTATCTCTTCATCCTAGGTAATAACCGTAACTTCTATATTCCTTCGAATGAGTATCTAACTCTTGGACTTCTTGACTGCAAGCGGTGCTCGATCTTGCACCCGCTCTCTATCTCATGTTGGACTTTCAATCGTGACCCTTTTTAGTCACAATCTCGATCCCTATTGGAGACTCCTTCTTCTTTTTAACAAACTTAATATAAGTTCTTTCCTTCTATTACCATAATAGACCGATGGGTCATGTTCTAATGACCTCTCATCGTATGATGCAATGCTTAGACTCATGTCTCTTAAGGTCAAATTCCAGAACAAAATATACCTTCCTTCATGTTCTAATGTGATATAATCACGTTCTAGCATGCAACACTTCTAGCTACAAGCTTCTTACTTTAATGACGATCGCGATACTTCTATTGATTGCTTCGATTATCTTTTACTTCAATTGTCTGGTTTAAGTTAGCTGCTACATCGATCTTTGGTTCCCTGAACCACGTAACATAAGATGCTACCCAATATCGAAACTTAATTGAACTAAGCATCTCTTTTAATTATTATTTTATCACTAGGCAAGCCTACAATGCTTATAATCATCATTCAATACCAACTCTGTTTCGGCAACACTATCCTAATTTAGTGTAATATTTTATACAGAGTATTAAGTATTAACATACATTTATCTTCTCATTTATAATACTTCTATTATTATTAACATGTAAATACATCTCAACACATATAGAACCATGTCTGGTTCGCATAGCGTATATCATCAAATATACATATAACACATATTTCCAGATAATAAACATATAACTCACATATAAACTTTCAACATATATTTAATACTTTTATTCATACTTGTATTAAAATCATGTTCATGAAAGGGACTATGCACTCACATGTTAAAGTGACGACTCGAAATTCGAACAACGCTTTGCTTCTAGAAATTATCTTTTCCTTTGACGAAAACCTAGTATCATTATCACTAAGTTTTAATCTAATATTTATTGTGACTAATTATTAGTCTAGATTCATCATTAACTCAAAGTGTACTTCAAGATCTATCAAGTAAGGAACAACCAGGTATGATCATATAGGAGGTAGGGTCTTTTTGGTATACGAAGTATACTGTTTGGAAATCCCACTTTAAACACCTCACTAAATCACAACCTAGACATCATCCCCGTAAGTAGATCAATTGGTATAACGACTTGGAATCACTGATAAATCTTGTTTATAGGTTCATAATAACGATAATGAACTTAAACATAAGTTATACTTAAAGTATGGTAAGCATAACTCACTTAAAAGGGGGTTATCGAGGAACCGGGCTCTGTGCGGGCAGAACTTATGAGCCGAAAGCTCTTCTTCTTGGGGCCTTCTGGCGCTCCGGGACTCGGTGCTAACACCTAGGAGGTGCTAGGGAAAGGCTTAGAGAGTTTGGAGGTGTTTAAGAGAGAATGAGTTAGAATGGTGTGAGGAATTGAGTGATTTGTGCCTTTTATTTATAGGTTGTCTAGGGGCGCTTCGCGTCGTGACACATAGCCTCCGTGTCATGACCTTGCGTAGGCACCAAGGCTTCGCCTGGTGCTGACACATGGCGCGGGACGCAGGTAAAACAACCAATTTTTAAAAATTCATAACTTTCGCATACAAGCTCCATTTTTGACGTTCTTTATATCCACACGTTGGTATTGACAAGATCTAGAACTTTCATTTAGACTCTATCGGCTAATTTTGAATATATTTTTAATGTTATATTTTAACAGGCTTAGACAGTTAAAATCCATTAAAAATTCATATATTTGTCATCCGACGTCCGTTTTCAACTGTCTTTATATCGTTGACCTCCTATTAACGAGATCTTCAATTCTCGTTTAGATTGTGTCGGCTAAAAATCGATCGATCTAAAATTCGATTTCCGAGCTGTGTACTGTTATGCTAAATCTTAGAAAAATCATAACTTCCTCTAACGAAGTCAGATTTGGACGTTCTCTATATATACGTTCTCGTTTTAATGTCTACTACGATTTTTGTTTAAATATCTAAGGCTAAAAAGTATGTTATCATAAATTTAATCGCGAAACTTCAACGGGTCATAACTTCTTCGTTATAGGTCTGATTTTAGCATTCTTTATATGTACGGAATCCTTGTGACATATCCAATAACTTTGGTTAAGATTGTTATCCTAAATAATCTTCTGTCAAAAGTCATTTTTAACGCTTATTATCTCTAAATTGACTAACCCGAATCTGCGGGCAGGTTAGCTGCACCTGATCCCAGATCGGCTGGGAAGAAGAACTAAGCATTTCTTATAAGGAGTGTGGATACCTTTCATGTCACAACGCGTTTTAAAGTTGTGAGGGCAGCAGATCCCATAAGAACTTTATAGTTAAGTGTGCCCGGACGAGAGCAATTTAGGGATGAGTGACGCCCTAAGAAGTTTTCGCGTCGTGATCCAAAGCCGACAATATTGTGATACGTGCCAGAGGAGGTTGTTACAAATGATATCAGATTGCACCTGATCGCACATCGGATGGGAAGGAGAACTAAACATTTCTTATAAGGAGTGTGGATACCTTCCCTGTCACAACGCGTTTTAAAACCGTGAGGCAGATACCATAAGAACTTTGCAGTCAAGCGTGCCCGAGCGAGAGCAATTCAGGGATGGATGACCCCTGGGAAGTTTTCGCGCCGGGAGTCCAAAGCGGACAATATTATGATACGTGCCAAAGGAGGTTGTTACGATTGGATAGGACTCCTTAAACATTGTTTTTCGTGATGATTGTGATCTAATTCGTCTTATTCAAATGTGTACTTTTCACCACCAACCTTTAACCTTTTATTAGATCACAATTTAGTCCCCATTCACATTCGTCAATGCCTATGTAATTATGGAGATTCATCAACAATTCCTCGAATATACCACTACAAAAAGGTCTAGTTCTTTCTGGATAGATAATTTACCACTTCGGACGTTTCTCATTGGTGTCAAATTGATTGTCTATAATAATAAATAAATTGTATGCCATGAGTCTAAACTAAGATTATATACATATACCATCATCATCATTGTGGCCTATTAGCCATCATTTGGTATGAATCACTTCAAACCGAAACCGACCCAAATTTGATTCTCATAAATTTCAACAGAATGATCAATCGTTTTAAGAAAAACACGATATACATAGACTAAAAAACGGTATCACATATATTTTTCCTTTCTAAATTATACTATAAATTCAAAACAAGACAAAAAATTCCTTCTCAAAATTAAGATTATCTTCACCAAATCTTTTCTTTTTTATTATTACAGTTTGGAGGTTGCAAGTTGTATAAGATCTTTCCTCAGTATCTTCCCTGACGGGTTCTTTGGGATGGACCCGATAAATGCTACTCTCCTAATTCGCTTATATGGAGCAACCTGTATAACATAAATCGTTACACAAAAAAAAAAATAACAACAATTCTGGTGCTTGCATATAGTTGATTTTCTATGTTTATTTGAGATTCTTGTAACTTTGTCATAAAATGTTATAATTTTGATGTTTATTTGAGATTCTTGTAACGATCTTTTTGTCTCTGGTGCAACTAATATGATTATTTTTCGTCCCAAGTATAACTGATTTTTGCAATTGGTACAAAAATAATAATAATTATACTCGGAACAATGACAAAAGACACTTTACAAAACCTCAAAACCAAAATTACAAAAAAAAAAAAAAAAAAACTTTTGAGAACCAAAACTGAAAAAGAAAAAAAAAAAATCTACAGCATCGAGCATTCAAGCCCATCAAAAGTTCTAATAGATAATATTACTTACTTGTGTAGAAACAAAGTCCATAATACCCTTTTCCGATAAATTACTTCCACTTTTCCTCATCACATATGCCATTGGAAACTGCCCAACGTCCTTATCAGGAAACCTAAAACACAAATCACTCAATTTATAATAATCGTTTTTGTTGATTAGAGTTTGGACAAAATCCATTACATTATCTGTCTTCAACTAAAAGGTCATTGTGCAAAACATTTCGAAATAAAACCATTGATAATAAAAAAGTAATATTTTAGACATCATTTATCTATAAACAAAAAACAGTTACCACATTTGATTTGCTTACATTTACAATTTTAATGAGTTTTTTTAGGTAGAAGACCGATAATGTAATGGTATTTTTGTAATTTCTAAACTTAAGTTGCGTAAAAAAAAAAAAAAAAAAAAAAGGAAGCTTACGGGATGACAGCACAATCGTCGATGTCTGGGTGAGTTAGTAACAAAGCTTCGAGTTCTGCTGGTGGAACCTATTTATATCGTGTACATTAAAAAAAAAATACTACATTATGCATTAAAAAAATACTTATATTTATTAGGTTTTAAAAAAACTTTACCTATATATCTTAATCAAAAATAATTTTATAAATTATATTATCAAGGATTTATAACCAAAATCAATTATTCCTATATAATTGATTATGTATTGCGGAAACAACCATTTAATTAAATAAAATAAAATTCCATTTAACACACATCCAAATAAATATTTGGATTTTGAAACTATTGAACATTTGAAATGGTTTTCCTATAAATATACATACTTCAATTATATGTCTTATTCAAAATATGTATTTCATTTTTAATTATTAAATTTGATAAAAACAAGTAACAATATTAAATATAGACTATAATTATGAAAAAAAAAATAAAAGTAAATAAGTTCAAAGTTGAAAAAGACCAATTTGCACTGGTAAAAATAGATGAAATTAGATGTTAGTGTAGGAATATATTATATTTGTCGGTTCAAAAAAAATTAAAATAATAATAATAATAATTACCTGATAGCCCTTGTATTTGATAAGTTCTTTTAATCTATCAACCACAAAGATGAAGCCATCTTCATCAATGTAGCAAAGGTCTCCGGTTCTTAGCCATCCGGTTGAGTCTAGAGTTGAGGAAGTTGCTTCTGGATTACTAAAGTAACCTACAATTATAACACCATGCATGAATTAATTAAAAAAAAAAAAGTGTATAGCCAATCATTTTTTCCAATTCTGATATTTATGTTCAGTTTTAAAAATTTATATAAATAAATGATTAATATTTACAATAGTCATAAGAAAAACCACTTTACATTCCATGAGTAAATTTTAGTCCAGTGATTGGTCTTTGGTGCAATAGACAAACAAAAGATAAAATAAAGGACACATGTAAGTGGAACCACTTTTCTCTTTTATGCAACAAAAAAACATGACCACAAAAACCCACTAACACAATAGACAGATCTTATTGCCATGAGATAATTGTCGACTAGCTCTATGAATCCGAATCTATTATTCTTTACACTTATAATTGAGATAATATATTATATAATATATATGTTATGTTAAAAGTTCTATTAAAAAAAAAATTACTTTTACATGTCTTTTAACAACTGAATGGTTAAGGTTAAAATGTTCACAAAAAACAAACATAAACCAATTACAACGAATAGTCAAAATAAGGTTAAAAGCCACGACAACGGCCTAACACTCAGTTTTAAATTCTATATTATATATTAAGTTAATGGCACTATTTTTATAGACAAGTAAAATAATTATTTTTAATGAGTTCGGAGAGAATTAAAATATTTTAAATATAGTCCCCCCCACATATTAATTAATTATATGTATGTTGTTACTGTTATATAATATTGATCATTTTAATTTTACCTTATAAAATTATTTTATTTTGTGTTTTAAATAGATATTATTTTATTGGGTGTTGCTAATAAGACACCCCTTAGACACCCTATTATCACTTTTATAAAAAGTCAATCTATAATCAACTACTTATAATCAGTTTTTTCGGAAAACAATGCAATTTCAACCAATAAAAATATTTTAAAAATTAATTAGGGTGCCATATGGTAAAACGGGATGTCTTTTTAGCCAACCCCTATTTTATTTTGTGTTTTAATAGTGGAGCCCACATCTTTCTTTTCACCGATTCATGTTTAAATGATGCAAAAGTTTCCAAATAATATAAGATTGACTATAATAATTATGTTGATAAGTTGGGATACCAAAACTTTAATAACCCTTTGAAAAATCGAAATTTTGATAGACTAGTATGGAGCAAAATCCAACTTTAATACTACTAACATGTTTCATTATTACTTTACTATTTCTTGAGAAAATAGTAATTGTCAATCAAAATAATTCTTCCATATATTTGTCTTTTGCTAAATAAATGATTTTTTTTATTTAAAAGAATACCAAAATGATATGCAAACCTTTCCAGCAAAATATTGTCAAAAAAAGTTGTTTATGACTTTATGTCTAATATTATAAGATATTTAAATTTAAATCTTCACCGAAAGTGATGGTATATAACCTCTAGATTATTTATTAATTATTTAAAAGGGTGTAGTTGACTAGTTGTGACTTGTGTTATAAAAATTAATTAATTAAATACTACTCTTACCTTTCATAACTGTGGGACCTTTAAGCCAGAGTTCTCCCGTCCGATTAACCGGCAACGCTTTTCCGGTATCGGGATCAACAATTTTTGCCTCCATATTCGCCGATAACTTCCCCGCCGTCCCGTACCTCCGGCTCTCCTCCAACGTATCGGTTGACGCCCCTATTCCGGTAGATTCCGTCAACCCGTACCCTTGCATTATCGTAACTCCAGGGTACTTCTCCATGAACCCTTCTGTCAATTCTTTACTCAACGGCGCACCTCCACATAACACCCACTTCAAGCTTCCGAAATCGTACTTTTTTCTAATTTGATCGGCGTTGTTGACGAGGGCAACTAGTATCGGCGGCACGAGTGGGAGGTAGCTGACTTTGTACGTACCTATGGCGGACAACATCTCGTGGATATCGAACTTCGATAGAACCACCACCGTCGCTCCCGACGCAATCAGCCCCGTTGCAAAAGCTACCAATCCGTATATGTGAAACATTGGAACTGTGCAGAGGAATGTTTGTTGATTATCTTCCAATTGAAATCGTCCGAGAACTGTTTGAACCATGGCTATTAGATTCCGGTGAGATGAAATCACGCCTTTACTCTCTCCGGTGGTTCCAGAAGAGTACAAAAGAGTAGCTGTATCGTCCTGAGTCACTCGCTCCTTGACTCTGTTCTGATTCGGCTCCTTCTTCATCATTTCCTCTAGCGTACTCACAATCTTCCCCTTTCCGGTGCCAGATCCGATTAGTACAATCGGAAGATTCGAATCGGCGAGTTTCGGAAGGAGCTCGGAGATCGTGAACGCAAGCACTGGTTTCGAATTGGCGATTTGTTTATTGATTTCGCGATTGGTGTTGAGAGGGTTTGTGGTGGTGATAATGGCGCCGAGTGACATAACGGAGAGGCAGACAATGGGGAAGAAAATGGAGTTAGGGGAAAGTAATAAAACGACATCGCCTTTGCGGATACCGAAGTCGGCGAGTGACGACGAGACGGATTCCACCGCTCTCCATACATCGGAAAATGTAAGGCGACGACCAGTGGATGCGTCGATGTAGGCAATGGTGCCGTGGTGCGCACGCGCTGAGATGAAGGTAGTTACATCTAATGTTTCATTGGCCGGTAATGGTGCCGGTTTCCGCTTGCTGTAGAAGGTTGAGTTCGAGTTACAGTAGCCGCTTCTTCCGTCGATCGCCGCCATGCTGCTAACATACGCCATATGCGATAAAGTCTGTAATTTTCAATCGTTGAGAGGTGAACTTGGTTGAATTTACCACGTAATTGAAAATTCAGAGTGATGTAGATTCAATGCTCTTGATAATCGTAGTTATATATATCATGATTCATATGACTTCATGAAAGAAAACGCTTCTTTTGAGTTTTGATCATACGATCATTTGAAAGTATAGTAGCCAATTTTAATAAGAATTACACTTATCTGTGGGTATGACTATCTTTGACTACTTGTAGACGGATACGATTGCTTTACTCCTTTCTCATGAGTTTGTGGCCGTCGATTTCAGTCTAAGGCATCAGACACTGGTCAAATAACATCTATTTCTTATTAAACATGTGTTATTATTTGTTCTTGAGTAATTTACAGAAATGGTCCTTGTGGCTTTATGATTGTTGTAATGGCACTTCAATACTTTTTTTTTTTTTTTACTATTTGTTCCTTAGATTTACGTTTTGTTACGAAATTATAAATTACTTCTTCCTGCGTTGCGGCATATAAGCTGTGACTCTGTCAAACTAGAGATTATTTTTCTAATTTTTTGTAAAAAAAAATTGCATATATGAACATTTTTTTATAAATTACATGGAAAGTTTTTATTATTTATTTTCTATATAGAGATCAAACTACCCAACATACCAAAGTATATGGCAAAATTCTAAAATCCAAACATAAAAAAAATGCATTGCCACCTTTTTTTATAAATTATAATACTTTTTATGATTTATTTTCTACATAAAAATAAAATCTAGCCACATACAAAACTATTATTGTCAAAATCTAAAACCAAAAGTATACACAATAATTTCCCTACGGTCTACTTTAATAGTTAAACCTATTGTAAAATTACCTTTAGACTATAAGAATATTTTCAATGATAGTTTTTTTTTAAAGTAATTTATTATTTAAAAAATAAATTGAAAAGTTTTATTGTTAAAAAGAAGACTTTTTTGAAAGGTTATTCCAAATACATACTTTCCTAACTTTATATTTTTCTTATAGGTTTTGTCCATTTGATCTTATATTTAATAACATTCTATTTTATCACCTAATTTATATATATATTTTTGGAACTGACATATTTTTATTAAATAAAAAACCGTGCCTAGCAAGGTGCTAGGGGAAGAAGGTACAAGATAAAGGAGGAATTACATACAGTTAAAGGGGTTAACACATCATTCTACCCACCGAAGAGAGCAATGATTCCTCCTATACTTAGTCCATAAAAATACATTATTTTTTACCAAATCAACAACTTTGGTAGGTGAAGACGTAAGTTTCTTGAAAATCCAGTGGCATCTTGCCTTCCAAATATGCAATTTGGTTTCATAACAAATGTTGATTAATCCTTTTATTTTCTTTGGGCATGTCCCCCATTGAGCTACAAATTTCACGTCAATGTTGTGAAATTGGTAAACAGGTGTGCCACACCACTGAATTACCCATTCCCAGACTTTAGCTGCCATTGGGCAGTGAAGTAGTACGTAGGCAACATCTTCATCTTCGGCTTCACAGTAGGTACATGTAGGGGTGCAACTTGAATATCCTTTTTGATTAAGGCGCATGCAGTTGGGATTCGATCTAGGTAAGCTCTCCACATAAAACAATTAACCTTTACGGGGATGTCATGTGTCCAGGTTATTGCTACTTCTCCATGTGACATATCTCTCCGATCAATTCACAATCTAAGGGCATCCACATGAAAGACTACATCATTGGAGAGATTACAGACCCATCTATCGTTTCTTGTCACTAATTGAATATTACCGACCCTGTTAAGAAGTAAGTCAGCTTCACCTAGTTATATTTAGATATTAGATTTCTTTTATACTTTATATTTAGTTAATTATTATTTTTTTCTTATAGGTTTTGTAGTTAGAAAAATATAAAAAAAATGATAAAAGATTATGTAATCACAATGTTTTATAATATGATATTTTTTTAATTTAAAAAGTTTTGACAAAAACAACTCATTTTTTCGGATCTGATGAACTGCCATCATCATCTTCTGCTTTGATTTTAAACCCAAAAACCATTTTACAAACTACCCCATTTAGTCTCTCTACCTAAATCAAACCATATTTCCCTTCATCTTCCTTCACCACCATTGTAAAAGAAAATTAAATTCTAAAACCTAATATTAATCTAAATTGATTTTATGCTATGAAACGATTTCTTATATGAAACATATGCCTAAACTTGACCTCAATCTGAAAATTCATTTTGTAAAGGAAGAGGAATAAAAAAAACCACAAAAGTTCTTGGGCTACCATTGTCCTATGTAAAACCCCCATTCAGGGAAGATGTATCAATTTCTGATCTGACCATCAAACTAAATTTGCATAGCAGGTGTGGGTATTGGACTTTCAGAGTCAGGGAGAGTAAGTGTGAGTGTTGGTAGTTGGGGTTGGAGTAATATTTCTGTACAAAGCGGTAATCTTTCTTCCTCCATGTCTTCATGTGATTGATAAAGGATTGAAGTTGAACATCTACTTCGTTAAAAGAAGCCCTAGATAACACAAATTTGTTCTATGGAAAAATTTGCTTCGCCATAAGAACACCCACCATTCCAACTACCACCAAACACCATCACTACTCCAACCACCGTGAACCACCCTCGAAAAACCCACCAACACTTACCTAATTTTGAATTCGATAGAAAACGGAAAGATTGTGATTGATTGATTAGAGAATGAGGAACGAATCTGGGGCGGTTGTTGTTGCAATTTTTGTTGCCTGATTCGATTAAGAGTGGTTCAGGACATGGAAAGGATTGTGATCAATTATAGAAGAAGGAAGGATTGCGATTGATTAAAGCTTGATCGATTCAGGAGAAAAGAGAGTGCAGGACCTGCGATTTTTGCTGCCCAAGTCGATTAAGAACGAGTCGTAGAAAAGGGCAGCGGTTCTTGAATCTAAATTTTTTTTGTATTTTTGTTTGTATCTTTTCATAGTTGTAAAAGAGGTTCTTGAATGGATTGGTTTTTGCAATCTTGAATACTAGAAAAAGGTTATATATATATATATATATATATATATATATATATATATATATATATATATATAATATATATATATATATATAGAGAGAGAGAGAGAGAGAGACATACACACTAGTTGTTTACCTACGTCAAGCGACGACGGGTGCAAATAGTTTTTTCATAGATTAGTTTCTACAGGAGATTAGTTATCCTTTGCAAACAGGTTACTACATCTAAACAATTATCAATAAGAGTCATGCTAGCAGAAACGGAATCAATAAGAATTAAAAATAAAAAATTAGGATTTTTTACGAATGTACATGAACGCATACTTGATTATGTATTATTAATCGCGCAACACTTCTTTATACACCATATTTGATGTATAGACTTCACTATCGTTAATTTTTTCGTCAGACTTGACTAATACTTTTGTATTGGCACATGATATCCCTCTGGATAATTGTCACACCCCCAAACCGGAACGGCGGAAACGTTCGGGGGCGGAGGACGTCATGTAAGTATCACAACACATGCATTATAGTAATCAAAGTACAACCAACCATTGCATTAATAAGTATAAGTTTTACATAGGTATTTTAATTATTTCATATTCTAGCATCAAAGTAGATACAGAAGACAACAGGAGTCGCAGTACGGTACTAAGTAGCCTTCTCAAAAGCTTTGGGGGTGTACCTGTCTACTAGAGCCCTGAGAATACAAGTAAGTTTTGAAAGAGTATCAGCATAAAGTTGGTGAGTTCATAAGCATTTTGTTTTAGAAAGACGGTTCTCGGTTCTTTTGAAAAGTGTGATATCTTTCCCAAAAAAACCTTATACTATCTGGTGTAATAAATGTATAAACCTTAAGTAAAATAATATTTTGATTCTGTTGGAAGTGTTCCTCAAGAAAATCTCATATTTTCTTATGAAAAGCATGATTAAACCCATTTCTTCTATGACTTCTTGGTTCATACTAGTTACACATAAACCAAGGAGTTATGGAGGAAATATGAATATTCGTTAGTTGATTAATAAACCATCTGTTTATAAAATACTGACGTTTACCCTGGGAAATCCTGCATTTCCCTTAAGTGAAGGTTATTGAATTACCCGTTCTAAATCAGAAAGTACAAGTATCTACCATACTTATATCGTTTAAGCATTATTCCTTTTGAAAACCATGGTTACCCCCAGTGAAGTATATTAGTCTTATTACATAAATAAAACCAATTGAAAACGTGGTGATCTGAATCCTGAAAGTGTTGTTAATACCCTCCTGTGATCACTTAGTTATTAACTCTAAAGTTAGTTCGTTCGATTTATTATTACGTAAATACATCGTTGTTATCTACATTGCGAGCTTTATGACCATACATTAACTTGATATGACGCGAATCGGGAACCAGTATCCTTTATGACTTTGTCACCCGTAGACCTGCCGGTCCTACTGTAGCTAGCAGCAGGGTGCGGGATAGTCAGTCTCGTATAGATCTATACACAAAAATCACGCTCTCCCTCCAGGAGATTCTGGTTCATAATGGGGTAGTCCTCCACTTAGTTAAGTTTGTAAGAACCCAAGGACGTGTCTCCAATTACATTAACGACTTTACGAATAATAATACAGGAAAACCCCTTTTTGTTATTAACATGAATCCTTATAAAATAATATCTTTTGTTTCATGATTCATAAGTTCATTTCCTTAGTGTTGAAAACTGCTTTTCCAAGGTTCGTATCTTAACACGTTTTGTAAAACTGATTTCTATATTCGTTGTATATTGCTAACGGAAATATATTAAACAAAATGATATATTTGAACACAAGATTACTTGTGCTTTTACTTGTATTCCCCCCTAAAAACATTAAAAAATCGGAAAAATGTAGGGGTATGAACTCACCTCGAGTGAGTGGTTTGAATGAAAGACCGATATGAGATGCTGAGTGTCCAGTGAAGCCTCGAACACAATTAGATCATATTTAACATGTAATAACACATATAGGAGTCAAATTAGGGTATTTCACTACTAGACATGATGGGAAACCACTCTAGGGACTTGGAAACACTTGAACTAAGTGTCAAAACCACATGTGACTGAGTGAGGGAGGTGTACGGCCACCTTAAGGGTGTGTACGGCCATGTGTGTGCGGCCCATGAGTGTACGGCCGTACACTCATGAAGAGGTATGCTTTTGAGGTG